CTTTGGTGCCAGGGCGCTGATGAGCAAGGCACAGGGGACTTTCAAGGTAATGGAGATGTTTTGTATCTTGCATTGGGGGGCTGGTTACACAGTTACATGCATTTGTTAAAATTCAAATTGGTCAATTCTGGTCTTTCATTTCACCACATCTAAATTTTACCTCAATTTAAAAAAAAAATTATGGGGGGCTGGTTGAAAGGAGTGTGGTAGCAGAGGATGAGGAACAGAATCCCTTATAGCATAAGGATGAGATAGGCGTTATATAGAAGAGAACATGGTCCTAAAGTTCTTTCATAGACATCGAAGGGTAAACCAAAAGGTTGGCATGAAACCAAAAATCTATAGTTTAACAGGCATAAAGCAAAAGGGGAAAAAACCAATTCAGCTAAGATGTGATGAATATAAACACAAACTTAGGATGCTATAAAACATGAGATTGCCAGAGTTAGCGAATATATTTAATATGGCAACCTGAACCAATACACCACTGGGCAATAAAACACCAGCCAGCCCAACTTGAGAGAGTGATTTTTTTTAAGCATCTTTTACAAAATGCTCTTTTATAATTTCCAAAATAGAAATTTTTACTGAATATGAACTCAGGTTACACATATACTAGAAACCACACAAAACTCATTCTTACCTTCAGTGAAACTCCCTGTTAGGGTTATTACCACAAATACTTTCCCTTCTGGCTCCAGATCCACCTGGAAAGAGAAAAAAAATTATATATTGTGGACTTTAAATAATTCATCACAGAGAGGCTTAAATATAGAAATCACAGCCACAAATCAAATCTAAGTCTTTCATTAAACAGTAGAGGGGCAAGGAAACAAGTGAAAACCCAATAAATTGTAAAGGTTAAAAAGCAAATATAAAAGAAACCATATTTTTTCAGCGTCCTTCATCTTGAATTTTTTTCTCTTCCATTTTTGGCTCTTTATGATACAGAGAAGCACTCACATACTTGGTAATTGTTTTTGAGACACCCATACCTTATGCGTACCGCTTGTTAGAGCACTTCACTAAACCATATGGCAAGAATACGAAATAGAGAAATAATGGCAGTATATAACGCAATGAACAAATGTGGCACAGTGAACTGAAAATCTTTAGTTTTAGTGAGTAAAAACCATAGTCTCTGTCTATACATTTCTACCAAAGTCTAGTCAATCTTAAGGAAGTACTCGGGAAGGAAGTTTAGGAGCTTTGCATTCACTACTACTCTTGACTATCCATGGAGTATCCACAACCCTTAAAGTTATCTGTCAGCTGAGCTATCAAGACATGTATTCTGCAAAGGAGGCAGCCTGAAGTCTTCTTCATGTGGTCCCATCCTCTGCATACACTCCAGTTTCCAGAAGACCTCACGCAGCATGGCGCCCAGGATGGAACAGTGCCTTCTAGATCTGCTCTGATCACCACTGGCACAGGTGGGCAGACTCTACCCTCTTCCTGCTGGGTGTGAACCTCCCTATCCATGAAGACCTCTAGGCCTTGCATTGCAAGGTTCTTGTAAACTCAGATACATGAATTTATAATTGTCCTTAAATAAATCTTGCCAGATTCAGTGCATGGCTCCATTCTTGCCTTTGACCTTTCATCTGAAAGGAAAGTCAAGAGAAGCTTTGACCTATAGGTAGAGAAGCTTGAGTATAGACATGGATTGTCACTTTTTGGTAAGACCACTAAGTTTAAATAAGCTGCCAGTCACATGGTACAGTAGAAAGACCCCCCCCCCATTCCCCACCACCCCGCCACACACACCCCATGGACTCCAGTCTGACTCTGCCACAGCTGTCTCTAGACTCTGGGCAAGGTCCTTGGCCACCTGAGCCTCACCATACTCATCTGAAAGTCGATGGCATCGTTGCCCAGCATTTCTAACGTGGCCTCCATCACATGATCTCAAAGAATCTTAACGGTACTATTTACTTTCTTCTTATTACTATTATATCTACAGGTGAACAAAAGCCCTCCACAAAGGCATTGGTCGTACACTAGGGCACCACCACACCCTGATTGTATGCTTTTTCAAAATACAAGACACCTATGTTGTACAGACTCAGAAACCTATACCTACATAACTAACTATTCTTACGACCCTCCCTTTCTCTGCATAAAATCCATTATGGAAGCAGTTACCACACTGTAAGTCGCCCCTGTGTTCCAATCAGCTACTTGCATCACGACGACTGCTAACTTAGCAATATCCCCTAACTATCTTAACACCACTTGTGAACCTTTATAGAACAGTTCTGAAAATAGAGCTCTCTGGAGAGATGACTAAACAGGATGTCAGTCTCTAATTGTCTCCACTCTCTGCCTTGACTTGTTTCAAGTCAAAAATATGTTATTTTTAAAAGCCACTCCCTCGCCTTCAACATAAAGGCCTGGCAGAGAACACACACTTACGCGTACATTTGACCTCACAACATGCGCTGCTGCTGGCACAGGAGCCACTGCTGCCAGCCCGGACAGACAGACTGCCGGCCTGCCTCCGCCATCCTGCAGCCCACAGCCAGCCCATAATCTCCCTCCAACACTGCCCTGAGGGCCCGCAAAGAAGGCCACACCGCCCCGAAGACAGGTCAGGAGCTGCTCTGACAGACAGCAGAGGATTCCACCACTTAGAATCAGGAGCTCTCACAAGTAGAACAAGTTTGCTCCCCCATTTCTGACCCATGCCACCAGCGTGGTGGAAAAGCCAGGTTCAAACATCATCTTCGAGTCTTGTCCATTTAGGAGAGATGTGCTAAGACATTAGCCCTTAGAAGGGGGATTTACAAACTGCAGGTCGAGATTCGTTAGAGAGACATTAGAGCAATTTAGTGGGTTGCACAAAACAGAGATTTTTTTTAAGTAGAATAAAACAAAAGAAAACAAGAACACACCACAGGGGCCGGGCGTGGTGGCTCAGGCCTGTAATCCTAGCACTCTAGGGGGCGGAGGTGGGAGGATCGCTTGAGGTCAGGAGTTCGAGACCAGCCTGAGCAAGAGCGAGACCCTGTCTCTACTAAAAATAGAAAAAATTAGCCCAGTGTCGTGGCGCACACCTGTAGTCCCAGCTACTCGGGAGGTTGGGGAAGGAGGATCACTTGAGCCCAGGCATTTGAGGTTGCTGGGAGCGAGGCTGACACCATGGCACTCTAGCCCACTCTAACAGAGCAAGACTCTGACTCGGCGGGGGGAAGAACACACCACAGGTACCAAGGAAAAGCACTTTCATGAAACTTTGGTTTGCAGTTTTGTATGCACGTATAAGGGTACACTGGGTTTTAATGTAAAGAGGTATTCCTTACTGTGTCACAGAGAAACAGTTTTAAAAATGTGGTGTTAGAGGTTATCTGTTCCGTCTATACATTGCTGATGGGCTGTTGTCATTTATTCATAGTGGTTGCTTGGATACTCCCAGTGACAGCCAACTCACTACCTCAATAGCTGGCCTATTTTATTCCTATACTTCATAGACAGATCTTTCTGTATGAGCAGAAATGCAGCAAGACCAATCGTTTCTACTCATTGACCCTAGTTTTGTCCTCCACGGTCCTAGTGGACACTGTCTCTCTAGCTAGAACATCCATTCCAGCTTTTGGGAACAGCACTTGAGCTTTATTTGAGAATTGCCTCTCCCTCACATGTAGCCCAAATGCTTCAGCTAAGATTCCGTCTCTAGCTCCAGGGCAGACAGGTGACCCGGACCTAGCACAGAACTCCCGCAGCCAGGACGACTGGCCTGAAGCTGGCAGATTCTCTGTATCTGTTTATCAGAGAAATTGTAACTCCCTACGCTCAGCAACTGCTGGCTCAGGCTTGGGCGCAAAATCCAAGAAGGTCCAATTAGGAATCCTGGATCTGCAAGGAAGAGACAAGATCTCACTTCCACTGAACTTCAATCTGGAAGGACATAAACTTGGGAGAGTCTAGAACCCTTGTCACTATATTGTGATAGAGAATGAAGCCAACAAAGGGGGAAGGCTGAGGGGACAGCAAGAGACCAGGTCTTGATGGCATCATTTAAACCTTTAGATCAAGCCTTGCTTGATTCTTTGAGACTTTTCAGTTATTTGAGCCCATAAATTCCCTTTGTTTTAGCTAGTCTGAGTAGGGTTTTCTATCGCTTGCACCCAAAAGACTTATCCAAATTGTCAACCAAAGACAGTATGTCAAATATTTGACGATTATCACATCCCTACGCCTTCTAACACCTATGCTGTCCCCTGCAATCTGACTCCCCGGCCTTCACCAGCACCGAAACAGCTCTGCAACCTTATCATCCTGCCGTCAAACCCGAAGATTGTCTTTCTCTCCGTGATCTGTCTGCAGCATCTGATCTTCCTGACGGCCTCCTTCTTCATGACTCTCCCTCCCTCCTTGCCTCCAGGAAACCGCTCTTTCCTGCTCTTCCTCTTCCTCTGGACCCCAGCATTTACCCAGCAGCCCGGGCTCCTCCCCGCGTACATGTAACTGCAGCCAGACCCCCCCCAAGTCCACTTTCCGAGTCTCTCCTAAATCCACCATTCCCTCTCCTCTCTGGCTGCTCTGCCTCATCTGTCCTTCGGCGACGGCCTCCTAGCTGGCTTCGTCTTCACACTACTGTCCTCCAGCTGCTGCCAGTGACATGTTTCAAAATTTAAAGTCTGGCCATGTGATTTCCTAACTTAGAAACCTTCAATATTTCCTCTCTCTTTCATGATAAGGTCCAAACTCCTCAGCATAGCACAAAGTCCTAGACACTATGCCCCTTCCTATCTTTCGGCCTCAGCTCTCCCCACCACTACAACCGCATACAACCTGTATCCCATCCACTTAATCCTTATACACTTTCTGGGAGGGATGTTATTTCATTTACCCTAAGAGAGTGACCAAACGTGTTATGTGTCAGGCAGCACACTGAGGAATTGTGAAAATTACACATTACCTATCTGTAGCTTATTGCCTAGTGATTTGGGGCATGTGATCTTTCTAGCTGGAAAACATTTTCTTCCTCTTTTTACTTGCCAGACTCCTATTTGTCCATCAAGACTCAAATCAGGACTCACCATTATAGGGAGATCTTCCCAGACCTCTTTTAGACAGTTGGACAACTCCATACCCATTACGGAGACCTGTTCTGGAACCCACATTGAGTTCTTGTCATTATGCCCTGTCCCTGAAGTCCTGCCTTGCATATAAGGGGACCGAAAATGGTTTGTGGAACAAATGAGTAAATAAAGTAGCAAACATGGATACCCAAGCTACTTCAGTCGCTTCATGTAGGACATGATTTTTTCCTCCTTCGCCATTCTGGTCAGTTTCCTCCCAAAATGCCCAGTTTCTCCATTAAAGAAGGAACATCAGCCTGAGGGTGTGACCTGACCCTCACAGGGGAGAACAAGATTATCACAACCGGGATCTTGACAGTGCCCGTGACTGATGCAACCAGGCTGCATGGGCGCTTCGAGAAACCCCCGTGACCCAGCCTGAGTCTGCCACCAACCGAAACCTCTGCATCTTTTCTATGTGCTCTATAAGGCTTTGCCGCCCACATCCTGCGCTCGTGCAGTGGTTAGATGCAAAAACCCCAACAAAAACCTAAGCACTTCGTATTTTTCCTACAGAATTTCAGCTAGTGGTTTCAGGCCCCAAGGTTCACTGGATCCCAAACCCAGTTGATTCATCCACCCTCCTTCTCAGCATTACGGCTCCCCAGATCAGGGCCTCCCAC